TGCATGATGCGCCATTTACGGGTATTTCCCGGTATTTCCCTAAACCGACACACATCAATTTATTTTGATTTGTTTTTTTTTTTCAGTTTACGAAAATGTTTTTTGAAATATCGAAATATCGGAAATGTGTTTAAAAATCATATCACCGTTATTGAAAAAAAATTATATCGCGATACATATTGATATTGAATTATTGTCCAGCCCTAATATATATTATTATTTATTTTGTATAATTTAATATATTATTTTATATAAATATATTATAACATATTTATATACTGGTTTTGTGGTCCAGGGTCACATTTAATGACACTAAAAAGGACAAAATTTTCCTTATACACTGAACACAACTCCCTGTACACATTTTAATTTAATTATATTTGTATATATAAAATTAATTACAACAACAACAACAACAATAAAAATATAAAAAAATATATTTTTTATTAAGAAAAATTAACCATTAATTATTTTATATACAATATTGATATATTTTTATTTAACAGTTTTTTTATTGATATAAGACAGTTGTTTCAAACGACTGTGAACTGAACTATGTAATTATTTAAAAAAATATTTTATAAAATTTTTAAATGCAATAAAATAAAAAATATTAAACATGCAACACATTATATGTATTTATTAAGTAACTCATTAACTGGTTACATGTAAGTTTTAAACACGTTTTTCTTCATTATATCAAAATAGCTGCATAATAAACATTCCATTAATAAAATGTTTAAATACACAATTGTATATAAACACATATGTATGAAAATTGGAAAAAATAAATATATTTTTTTGAATACATTAATATACAGGACCTATATGTGTGTGTGTGTATATATATATGTATACATATGTATATATATATATTGTGTGTGTGTGTGTGTGTCTGTGTGTGTGTGTTTGTGTATAATATATATATATATATATATATATATATATGAGAGATATGAATATTTTATGTAAAATATTTAATGGTTAATATTTTGATTAAATTAATTTTTATATATTTTTTAAAAATATTATTATTATTGTCTGTATATTTACATGTATGCATGTATGTGATGATAAGCTGAAACCACAGGTGGAGTGCTGAGGAAAAGGAGCCAATCAAACAGAAACTTCCTGGTTTCAGAAGTCTTGAGGGGAATTCTTAGCCCTTTTCATAACGGTAATGTTTACGGTTGCGTCACATACGTGACGTGTGGCATTCGTACGCCACACTGTCTGTACAAGAGTAAGGTCAGTGCTAACATGCCGCACCCCACACTGTGGCTCATATGGAGAGAAAGCGTGGCTGGTGGCCAGCAAGATGATCTGCTGTCTTAGACGGCTGAGAGGGGAGAGCTCTCCTTCAGTAAAGGTCACGATGCTGGCAGCGTTGGAACCGTCAACTCGCACAGCGCAAATTGGTTTGGGACAGCTCACAAAGGTCCCAAATGCTACAGAGACCCTGACCTTTCTGTGTGCACTGTTGAATGCGCAGTTTTCCGAAGCGGAAGAACCTCCACTTAAAAAAAATGATAATCCCAATTATCATTTGAAAAGCTGAACTGCAAATATGTGCTAGTTGCAAAATGAGAATAAATAAGGCATTGGAGGGATGGTATGGGAATGAATATAATGAGCTCCTGGGAGAATAGTCCTACACTGAGTTTGCCGTGGTAGGAAAGGATGAATGGAATCGCAACAATGCTGGCCGCACTCACATCACACGCCGCATTTCTTGGCAGCAGCAGTGTAGTACTAAAACCACGCAACAAGTCCCAAGATTCACCTGCCTCAGTAAGGACATACAGAGGCTTTCATGCTACACTTAACCGGTCGCCTACCCAAAAATTAAAATACAGTCATTATTGATCATGTCGTTCCAAACCTGTGTGAAATTATTTAGCAAAATGTCTCAATGGTCTAAAATTACATTAAACCCTATTGGCTTTCATTGTATGGATATTTTCTAAAACCATTTCAATAGAGAAAGGCCCAATAGATTTTTGGTTGCCGCAAGAGATGCAAACACAAACGCTTCAGTCCCGTTCCCCCTTGACTCAGCGTGACAGCAGATAGAAAGACACATTACAGATCACGGTCTCTTACAGAGAATTATCATTCAAGCAGAATAAATGTTTCCCAATCCTATTATTCCCTGTTCATCAAAAGAGTGGAGCATAACAGTTGCCGGGGCTGCACTGGATTGAGGGTAGATGGGGGGTTAATGTCATGGAATGATTTGCATATTATAACTCTTCCCTCGTTCAGCTATGTTTAGTCCTGGAAACAGTACATTACCAGAACAACTAACCCTGTGTGCAACTAAGCTTAGGCATGTCGAAAATTCAATCACGCAGAAACCAGTTACAATTATAATCAAAACCTGGTGTGAAGAACAAGTATAAATGTTATATGTAATTAAGTCATAAAAGAGGCTTTTAGCCGTGAGCCTTTCACCACAGTCTATTTTTACTCCCTGTATCCATAAAGTATGATTTAAAGACCTTGTCACACTGTGGTTTGTTCAAGATCCAAAATGTAGACGCCTACATACTAACACTGTGTGCATGTCCGCACGCACGCACACACACATACACAGTGGGAAAGTAACACGCAGAGAGAAGGTAAGGGGTGAACAAATCCATTGCAAATACTCCTGTGTGTTTGCTGCGGTGGAAAAGGAGCGCTATATTTAGCCGTGAATTAAAGTCAAAAGCGAGTGGAGTCTTTCATACGGGTGACTAATCTTCAGCATGAGACAAGGATTATGAAATCAAAGAGAAATCCACCCAGGTGTCTCTAACAATAACTTGCATTCAAAACAAAATTTCTACTTTGACGCAATTTAAAGACAATGTTAGAAAAAAAGGAAAGAAAGTTCAGCTTAGGCTTCAATCCATCTTTTGTTACAATCTTTCAATACAAAATAATAAATATTATAAATATATAAATTATATCAAATCATATCTAAAAATGTATATCATTAAATTACAAATCTCTCCCTCTCACACACAAAAATTATTATTTTGATTATTTAGCAGTAATATGTACTATGCTTTTAAAAAAGTTAGAAAGGTAAGAAATATAATATAATAACAAATATATAAAATATATTCAAATATACATAAATATAATATTAACATAATAAAATTATATATACACATTATACACATCAAATATCTGTTGATTTATTTAGCAACATTTCTCATTCATTTCTACTATGCAATTTAAGAAAAAGATTATGAAAGTTCATGTTAAGCATCAAGTATCATTATATTTCAATATAATGAAAATATAATAAAATATATTTAAATAATATTTGAATATAACATTTCAATATCCTGGCTTTCTTGCAACAAGACTGCAGTACAGTCAGATTAACAAATCTTTCTTTTTTTTAATTCACTTTGCAGATTCTCTCTTTAAAACATCATAGTATAAGTCTGCAGATTCCATCTGGGCCTACTCACGAAGCTCAGCCAACTGAACTGAGAGAGGGAAAAGCATAGCAATAGCATAGTGATCATTTAGTCAGAGGGAGAGGGAGAAAGAGAGAATGCTCAGTCTCAGCCAGGCTTTCCTTCTCCATGTTATGCAGCACAGGCACGTTCCCATTGGCCTGCACCAGCAGGCGGGAAAGTATGAGAAAGAGGGAATTCCTGTGGCTTGGCATGAAGTGCTTAAGAGGCGTGGCATGTTCTCTGTTTACAGGGCCCACACTGAGAAAAAGCATCTCCAAGGAGCCACTGAACTCTGCTGTCTTGTTTTTACTCTCCTGTGTGTTTGGTTTCTAGTCTATCAGCGTTTCGAGTAGGAGGCCAAAGAAAGCATATGCTCACGGGATAACCCCGAAATCCCACTATGGGTGGATCTTGAAATTCTTCCCATATGAACCAGTCATACCTTAAGCTTGCAATGTTTTGTTGTGTGAAATGCTTTAAAAGTCGTTTGGAGGTGTGCAAAAACAACAATACTAATATTGCAATAAAACAATCAATAAAAAGATTTATGGTTTATTGTGTTAACATATAGGATGTGTTCTAAAACCAAAAAAAACAA